TAATAGCGAAATCACGATCACAAGCCAAGAGAGAGTGGCCACTTATCAAAAATTTTTGTATAATCTCATCAAATATCCCCATATTTATTAAATATAACATCAAAACTACTAACGTTTTATTTTTATTTTGGCCAGCACAGTTGTCTGACCATATAATTAGTTTTTTGCGATTTATCGTATTTTCGTTTTTGTTAATAACTTGAAAAAGACAAGAAGCGATTTCTGAGCTTCCACGAGAAGCAATACTTTCATCCCACATATACATAAAGGCTGTATTGCTGTCACCGAGATGTATTCCAAAGTTATAACAACTAAGTTGACGGCTTTCCTGAATTGTATTATTGCTTTTCCTGGTCGCATACGATTTTCCACTAATTCTTTTTTTAGTCTGATCATTTCTTCTTTTTTTACCACTTCGTAAAATATGTATACTTTCAGTATCCATAATAATACAATTAAACAAATGAAAAAGAAAACTTAACGAATACAACAACACCAGTATTAGTTATTTTGAAATATAACGGACTATATTATAATATTGTAATCGTCAAACTATTATATTCGTCCAAGGCACTTAGAACGTACAGGTAACAAAGGGCATGTCTCACAGAACAAATACAATCTATGAACGCAATTTTGTACAAGTAAAAAATTTAATTGACACTTAAAACACATACAAGATTGTGACCTTTGGCTTATAGAACATAAATCAGAAATAAAACAATTTTTCAATTTTTTGGCACATAGAACGTTTGACACATTCACTCTTCATATATATATTTATGTATAAAAATAAAAATACAAAAACGTACGTATATATGTATTTGTTTGTATACATGTATGTGTACGTACACATGTAGATATTTACAAAAAATTATCAATAATTTTCGATCGTTGTTGTTGTTGGTAATTGTAATCCAATTGTCATCATCATCATCAACAACAACAACAACAACAACAACAGCAGCAGCAGCAGCAGCCAATAATAATAATAATAACGGTGGTGGTAACAATAATAATAACAATGGTAATAACTATGCACGTTTTTCTCAGCCGATCCGGCGGCAGTCGGGCATAGTTGTGATGGTCCACGATGCGATTTCGAGTCGATCGAGATGTGTGTATGTGATATGTGCGCGCGTACGTGTATATATATATTATTATTATTTATTATTTTTGTTGTTGTTAATAGTTATCGATTGTTTCAATCGAACGATACGATATAGTTTGTTGTGAAAACAAAAATGTAGTGGGTTTTTTTACAAAAAATTAATTAATTAATAACAATATCGTCGTCGTCGTAATACATTTTTCAAATGCCCACCGTGTTGGATTCGTGCGACTCGCTCGGGATCGGACTCATGTTGGGAAACAAACGCGGAAAAAGTGCAGCAGCAGCAGCAGCAGCAGCAGCAGGTGTATCGGATGCGTTGGGGCTTAGAACAATTTTATCAATTGATACATATATACATATATTGTTATTAACATTAATCATTGTCATCATCGTCGTCGTCGTAATTAATCGAACGATATCATAATTCATCATAAATATTATTCGTATTGATTCATATATTATTGTAAATGTTGTTGTTGTTTTTTTTTTTTTACAAAACATTGTCTAACGGTTTTTGTTGTTTTTATTATTATTATTGTTGTTATCATTATAATATACACTGACACGCGCACACTACGTGCAACTATTTTATTAATTTATATATATACATGTATGTACGCGTATAGAAATAAAAAAACAAAAATATACACACGTGTGTGCGCGTATATATTGTAATGAAATGTGTACGTTTCTTTTACAAAAAAACCCATTCGCATATATGGTATTGAACGATAATAACGATAACAATAACAATAATAATAATAATAATAATAATAGTAGTAGTAGTAGTAATAATCTATTTTTCAGACACCCGTTGGATTTCGGGCGACTCGCTCTCGACGAATTTTGTACCGTTTGGTCGAAAAACGCGTGGAAAACTCAAACAATAACAACAACAACAGCAGCAGGTACACGGGATAATGCGTTGGCGTTGTTTACAACTGTTTTATCAATCAGTATATATTATAATTATAATTATTATTGTTATTAATATTATTAATATATATGTATGATTATATATTATTATTCCCGATATAAATTTTAATAATTATTATTTATTATTATTATCGTCATCGTTATCGGGGTGTAATTAATCGAGAGCGATGCAGAAAAATTTATTGTAAAATCAACATGTCATTTTATATTGTTTTTTTACAAAAAATTATCGTACTATTCTTCACTACGCAAGTGTTTCGACAGTTGTAACAAGTGCATTGTGCGTGCGAGAGCGCGCGAAAAAAATTCATACACCTACATGTATACATACACACATGCACGCATTGAAACGATTACTTTTCATTTACAAAAAATTATCGCATTAAATATATATATTCGATTAATGATGATAATAGTGATAACAATAACAACAACAACAAAAACAGCAACAACGATAGTGATAACAACGAATTTTTCAGTTACCCGTTGGGATCTGTGCGACTCGCGCGCGCGTGTCGATTCCCGACCGTTGAAAACAAGACTTGTACGGGATGCGCTCGGGGGCAACTATTCTATCAATCAATATATATATATACATACAGAGTGATCGAAATCTGGCAAGACACTTATTTTCTCAGAAACTATTGAGAATTTAAAATTTTTGTAAAAAGAAAACTTATTAAGTTTATAAAACTCTACAATAATATGAAGTTAAATGAATTTTTTTTTTATCCCTTCAGGGATAAAAATGATTATTTCTTAATTTTTTTAAATAGGAACCACTATTTTGATTTGATAATATGATATAAACAAAAATTACAAACAATTATGTTCTTATAGTTTTTTTTATCCGAATAACCGTTTACGTTTTATAATTGTTTAAAGATTTTGGCTTCCAGAAAAAATATTGTTTGTAATTTTTTTTTTCTATCACATTATAAAGTCAGAAATAAGGGTTCCCATTTAAGAAAATTATAAATAAGGGTTCTTATCTTTAAAGGGACGAAAAAAATAATGGTTTGACTACATGTTATTAGAGAGTTTTTTGAACTTGATATTTTTTCACTATAATAAAATTTAAAATTCTCAATATTTTCCGAGAAAATGAGTGTCTTACCAGATTTCGATCACTCTGTATATATAAATATATTATATTTCCAATGGAATTGTATACGTTTCTTTTAGAAAAATATTATCACGTTACATTCAATTGACGACGATGATTGCGAATTGACGATTGATAAACGCCCGTAACGTACGCGCGTTCGACCGCATTGTTGAGAGACACGCGCCTGAGATAAAACAGCGGGTGCGTCGGATACGGTGAGGATCAGAGAACGATTTTAACAATAACAATACACATACATATACACGCTAAAATATATATATATATATAGTCTTATTTTTTTTTTTTACAAAAAAATTGTCGTATATATATTAAAATATATATATATATATATATGTATATTTTTTTAAATCGATAATTATAGTATTGAATTATCGATAATCGCGTAGTCGACACGGCGGAAAACTATTTTATAAATTGATATGTACACATATAGTTGTTGATGTTGTCATTATTTATTATCATTATTGTTATTATTAAATGAACAAATTTGTCGTGAAAAAAAAAACGTATACGTATAATATATATATTAGGGTGCCACTTATTCATACATGATGATTTTTTTTTGTAATTCTTATGAGCGCCAGACAAAATTTTATTAGAAATACCTTAAATATCAATCATGTTAAGTTTTGGCCCATTTGAACAACTTTAACACGTCCCGATTTGAGCTTAAAGTTTTGTGTAAATTCGTAAAATCCGTTGTTTTGACATATAGTCGTTACAATTTTCATTTTACAAAAAATTTTATAGAACAATAAATAGTACAAAACACGTTTTAAAAAAATGATCTCTTAATATTTTTTTGTAAAGTGAATTCATTCTCGGAAAAATAACAAAATATGTGCGTTTTTGCGTATTATAGAATACTCTTTTATCATATTATTGTAACAAAAATTATAATAGACTATTATATTTTTTAAAAAAAAGAACCGAATATTGCACATGTATGATTATTATCGTACTTGGACAATTCCCGAGATTACTATTTTATGAGTCAGTATACGTGTTAAAGTTGTTCAGATAGGCAGAAACTTTACATGATTGATATTTAAGGTATTTCTAATAAAATTTTGACCGGCACTCATAAGAATTACAGATGTTGAAAATAAGTGGAACCCTAATATATATATAAACACGTGTAAGTGTGTGCGTGCGTGTGAATTGTTGATTTGTGATCAAATTGTCACAGTGTCGACAATCGGAAAGCCGTCACAGTAGCATCCGCAGTGGTGGTCGTCGGGTCAGCCGAGCCGAGAGGGTGTCGGGCGGCCGGGCGAGAGGTCACCGCCGCCGGACGGGGCGCGGCGCGCGCACCGTCGTCTTTTCCGGGGTTCCCGCTCGGAGGCGGCGCGCAAACTTACACGCCGGCGCCCGCACGGCCGCCGCAGCTACCGCAGCCAGCCAGCAGCGGCGACCACGGCAGTAGCGTACGCGCGTGCCGAAGAAGCGCACACTGAACGGGCGCGCAGTCAGACTCACCGACAGACCGACCGACCGACCGACCGAACGAACCGACGACGGCCGACGCGCCACCCTAAGTGTGTGTGTGTGTGCGCGAGACCTTTTGCGGCAGCGGCGTCGGATACGGGCACCGCGCTGTGCGGCCGCGAGTGACAAAAGTATTGTTGCCGCGAGTGTAGAAAGTGTTGTTTCGCGCGTGCAAAAGAGTGACCGCCGCGGAAAAAGGCTGCGGCAGCGAGACCACGACCGAGACGAAGACGGAGATCAAGACCATTTTCAAAAGCAGCCGCAGGGGCATCGGCGGCGGCAACCGTCGCAGCAGTAGCCACATAGGAGGCCTGAGCGACCCCGGCTGCGGNTCGGATTCTGCATGGTAGGCGGCGGTGGCGACGGCCGTCGTTTTTTTCGTAAATTCTATTCGGATACAACGAGTGTCAGTTTAAAACCATGATGACTACGACGACGCGGTCAGAGGCCGCCAACGACCGCGCGACCCGACCCAATAGTGACAGCGATGCCAACGCCGCGTCATTCGCGCGCGCGTCCCCCCGTCTCCTAAAACAACGGAATTTTTTTTTACCCCGCGAGCGCGTAACCGGTGACAGGTCCGGTCGCGTGGCGGTTAACGGGTGCGGGTGCGTACTGAGTAACGGGTAACAAGTACCGAACCCAACGACGCGGAAGAGGCCCGCTATCCGCGGCGTCGTCGGACGCAGCCTAAGGTTCCCGCGATATGCGTCTCCTCTTTTTTTTTTTTCCATGACCGGCATTATTGAGGGCTGCCCTGGAACTGCCGTGTGGCATTACTTCAAGGCGGCCCACGCCGTCTTAATTCACACCACCACGTTGCGAATCAACCCGAAATTAATCAAGAGCTGATTCGCAACGCGGTGTCGCCCCCTCCCGTTAACCTATTCGCACAGTGGGAACCGTTAGGGAGGGTTGGCAAAACAACTAACAAACAAAAAAAAAACACAAGAACAAGAACCTAAGGCACCGGCCTAAACCAGCGCTTTCTTTAGCAAAACGGATTTTGCGAACGCCTGGATGAGCCTCCACGCCTCCCGGCTCCTTAACATCAGATTCACTTTGGACCCAACTCGGAACGTAGACCCTACACCAAAGAGTCCCGCTCCTGGGTTCACGCCTCGCACCGGAAGTAGGTTTGCAGAGCGCTGTCAGCCTCTCCCGGGCGATCCGAACAAAAGTCTGCGCCGTATCTCTCTCAGCCCTCTCAGATTGGCCATGAGTTCCGCCAGGGAATTCATGACTTTCTGGGCCCGCTGGGCCGCACGAGTAATGAACTTTAGACGTTTGTCTGTGACAAGGCCTAGATAAGTTATGGAGTCCTTAAGTGGAATCTCCATCCCCAGCACGGTGAGCCGTGGAGGAGTGAACGCTTCGATCTTGTCCAGAGTGAGGCTCAGTCCACTCCCCTCCTGCTGGATCCATGCGAAGACTGCGCTGAGCGCGCAGTTCGCACGAGATCCAGCTTCCTCGGACGAGGCGCCTTCCGCCACCACCAGCGTGTCATCCGCGTGCGGTGGTAGCGGAACGCGGAACATCATAGCAGAGGCCCGAGACTGACCCTTAAGGGACGGCTCCCGTAACATGTCTGACTCTCGGGCCCGCGGCGCTTTCGTAGGAGATAACCCGATTGCTAAAGTACGACCGGATCATCCGCCCGTGGTAAGGAGGCACCCGAAACGCGTCCAGCGCTCCAAGGATGTGCGATCTGCGTCTCCCCCAGCCACAGCCATCATCCCCTTCACAGCAGTGGCGTTACGCGCTCGCGCCGGGCTCCTCGACGCGCAACCCCGGGCCTCGGTCGACCGCCAATATCAGTTTTTCGCGTTTTTCGTTTTTCATCATTCATTTTTCATTTTTTCACATTCTGCAGATGCCGCCGGCCGCCGGACCACATCAGTGGCGGCGGCCACCATACGACATGGCCGGACAGCCAGGACGAAGCCGGAGCCGGAATAGCGGTGGTAGGACTAGAACGGCGACAGCGCCCGCACCGGACGACCACAACTGCCGAGACCGTGACCGCGACACAGGCGACGGCCACGACCACGACGACGACAGAGGAGACTGCGACAGTGGCGACGAACGGGACAGAGGCGGGCACGGCGGCGGTAGGCGGCCTACGCCGCACAGGCCGCGCGGGGCCCGCGGGGCGCCGCCGCCGCCGCTCGCGCCGCCCGCCGTGCTGGTCGCTCTGCTGCTGCTGGCCGCGGTGCTTGCGTCGCTGGCCCGAGCCGCGCACTCGGCCCGAGACGGTGAGTATGCACGCATGCACACATACGTGCGATCCCGAGGTTGTCGTGTGTACGCATATACGTATGTTATACATGTTATACGGGTACATTTCTGCTGCTGCTGTGACGGCAGCGGCATGTATGCGTGTATGTATATGAAAGTATTTAGCGCGTGCGTTCGGTGTACGCGTGCAGCACGCGGCGGCCAAACGTGCGCGCGGTGTCTGGTAAATGTGTGTGTCGTTTATATGTGTATGCGCATACATACGCGTACACGTCAACAATTTGTACAATCAATATATATATGTATATGTGTATATTTAATATGTGTGTGTTCTCATCATGTTTGTTTGTCCGGCAGTCCCGGTATACCGGGTGCGGGCCGTGGCAGGCCGCCCAGCCCTGCTGCCGTGCGACGTGTCGGCGGCGGCGGCTGAACCTGCGGACGGAGATGTCGGTGGAGGAAGAGTCGACGGAGGAGCTGTGCCGGAATCAGGACCGGGAGCGGGACCCGGAGCGGTACCCGAAGCGGAAACGAGACTCGGACCCGGAGATGATGACGCCGCTCTGCTGGTGCTGTGGTACCGCGACGACGTGGGCACGCCGATATACAGGTATGCCTCACTGCGGGTAGGCCGTAGTGCTACAATGGTGCTGCAGCTGCAGATGCTGCTTCGGCTGTTGTTGCAGTTGCTGCTGTAGCTGCTGCTGCTAATAACGACGTGTGTGTTTCTTTTCAGCGTTGACGCCAGACTGGCGGCGGTGGCCCGTCGAGAAGGAGAAGACCAAGACGACGAAAACATCCGACGAGAAGAAGATGGCGGCGACGGCCTAGGAGACGACGACGGCGCCAAAGCTGCACCACTGGCCGGGCCCCGGGCCCGCCGGTGGTCGGACCCCCGGGCACTCGGCGACCGGGCGTCGTTCGTCGTCCGCCCCGGCGTTACCAGAGACCGTCGTCCGGGAGCCGGGTCGGCGCTGCGCGTCGATCCGGTGATACCCGGCGACGGCCGCCGGTACCGGTGCCGGGTGGATTTCGGCCGGGCGCAGACGCGCAATTCGCTGGTGGTGCTGACGGTCAGTGGTGAGTTTTTATTCTTTCTGTGGGAGGGTGGTGGTGTTGCAGGTGGGCAGGAGAGAAAAAAAGCGGACTTGCGGGCGGGCAAACCCGCGGGTTGCGCCGACGGTATTACATATGTATATTTATTTATGTAGTTTATTGATATATGTATTTTTTTTTTTCCACTGCTCCCTCTTGTAGTGCCGCCCAAACGGCTGGAGGTGCTGCTGTTGTCCGGAGGTGGAGGAGGCGTCGTAGGCGGAGGCGACGTTTTTGTCAGCGCGGGAGGCTCACGAGGTGCACGAGGAGGAGGAGACAACGCCACGGCGGCCGCGGTCGCGGTGGCCACGGGCGAAGACCCGGTCGCGGCCGCGGCCGTCGGCCCGTACGTCGAGGGCGATCGGCCGCGGATGCGGTGCCGAGCCACCGGAGGTATGTATGGGCTCTGCTATACCGTCCATCTGTATAACTGTGTATGTGTGTCTGCAGGCGATCCGCCGCCTCGGGTCCGGTGGTACCGGGACGGACGGCCTGTCTTGGCAGCGGCGACGGAGGAGGACGAAGAGGATCGGAACCAGGAGGACCGGGAAGACCGAGACCACCACAGGGAGGACACTCGTCGGCGAACAGGCGACGGAGGAGGAGCGGTACCGCAGCAGCAACTAACCGAGGAGGAGGCGGAGGCGGAGTCGGAGAAGGAGACGGCGGCGGCGGCGGTCGTCGAGGCCGACGTCGAGCTGCCGCCTTTAGACCGGTCCGATCTGCACGCCGAACTAGTGTGCCGGGCCCATCCCGGCGGCGGCGACATCAACGGCGTTAACGGCGATGGCGGCGGAGCAACGGGCGGAGGCGACCCAGACGGTGACGGCTGCGGTGAGCTGACGGCGGTCGTACACGTCGACATGAACTGTGAGTATACATATACGAAATGAATACATTGTGCGGTTGTGTTTTTTTTTTTTAATTATTTTGCTATTCTCCTTTTTAATTTTCAGTCGCGCCGCTGACGGTTGACGTGGTCGTGGACGGCGGCCGCGCAGTCGACAACGACGACAACGGCGGCGACCAGGTCGATGAGGAAGAGCAAGGAAGACGAAGACAACGGCCACCCCTGCGGACGGTGGCCGTGACGGCCGGACGGCGATACGAGGCCCGGTGCCGATCGTCGGGCGGCCGGCCGCCGCCGCGTATCACGTGGTGGCTCGACGGCCGTCGCTTGGACAGCGGCGGCGACCGAGAGACGGTGAGTATGCGTGTGAGGGGCGTGGGCGGGCGTCGGGGTCCAAAACGAAAAGAGGAAAAAATGAAAAAAAACACCGACGACAACAACAACGCCGCGAGTTGTGTTGGTGAGCTCTCTGTGTATATATAGAGAGAGAGCTCTGTATATATATAGTGCTCTCCTTATATAGAGAGGGAGGGCCCACCAACAGTAACGGACGCGTTGGGTGGGCGGTTTGTCTGTCGGGGTTTTTTATTTTTCCATCCGTTTTTGTTATCGTACATTTTTTTTTTCTTACAAACGTTCATTTCTCTCTCCATCTTGGTTTCAGACGTTGGCCGACGGCAACACGACCACCGCGGCGCTGACCCTGGTGCCGGAGCGGCCGCACAGCAGAGGAGGCGGAATAGGAGTCGGCGGAGGAGGAATAGTGGTCGTCGGCGGAGCAGCAGCAGCAGCAGCACGAGGTGCCTCCGGCGAGTCTCAAGACAGCGCCGCCCAGGCCCCACCATATGACTCGGTGCTAACGTGCCGGGCCGAGAATGGCGGACGCGCGTCTTCGGGCTTGGGCGGCGCCTCGTTCGTCCAGTCTTCCGTTGGCCTGAGGATACACTGTGAGTATATTGTATGCATGCATGTGCGTGCGTCCGTTTGTGTACGTCTGCGTGCGGTAACGCAAATGGTTCGTTTGTTTGTTAATTTGTTTTTCGCATTTCCACCTTTCAGACGCCCCCGTCACGTACGCGCGTCTGGGCGCCGGCCTCAGAGCCGACCGGGTCGTAGAGGGGGCCGACGTGTACTTTGACTGCGCCGTCGACGCCCGGCCGCCGGCCAGCCGCGTGCTGTGGACTCTCGACGTGAGTACCGTATCGTATGTACACATATGTAGAGATATATCTCTATCATATATATATATATATATAGAGAGAGAGATATATATATCTATACATATATATTATAAATATATATATACAGAGTGGACCACCACTCACTAACAACTTAAATAACGTTTGATCCAGTTAGTATTTTTTTTTTTAATAATAGTTATACGTTAGGTCTATAGCTATATCTCAATAATTAATTTTTTTTACATTTTATTAAAAATATTAGTTATTTTTAAATTTTAAATAAAATGTAAAAAAAAAATCTAAGATAGCTATTTTGTAGAGTGGAATTTAAGAAATATTTTAGTAAAAAAATATCTTATTAATATTCAGTAGTAAATATTCTGTAGCGTTTTAAAGTTTGTGAAAATTTGAATTTTCATGTATTATTTTACGGTATTAAACATTGAAATACGTATTGAGAAAAGGACAGAAGAAAACGCTATCTTTTCATGATTACTGTGTATACATATGATGATAATGTGTATACATTACAAACTTGGCATTAATACCATGATAAGAAATTAGATAAGGCAATTATTACTTATCACTCTCATTCAAAAGTATAAGTCATTTTCATGGAAAACGTTACACACTTCCTAATTATAGTTGTCATTGAGTGGTGGGCCACCCTGTATATATATTATTATACATATCTTTATCTATATCTGTGTGTGTTTGTTCCATGTGCCGCCCCCGTGCAGGGCGCCGTCATCGACCCCAGCCGACGCCCCGGCACTGTGGTCAGCAACCAGTCGCTCGCCCTGCAGCGAGTGGGCCGCCGGCAATCGGGCCGCTACGGGTGCGCCGCCGTCAACGCCGAGGGCCCCGGGCCCGTGGGTAGCACGGTCGCATTGGACGTGCAGTGTGAGTATCTTTATTACTACTATTATTATTGTTATAGTTGTTGTTGTTGTTATTATCAATAGCTGTAGTAGTAGTTGAATGGGTTGTAGCAGTGTTATTAGTAATTGTAGTACTACTACAGATAATGATAATACTACAGTAGTAGTAGTAGTAGCGGTAGTAGCAGTAGTAGTATTTGTATTAGTCATAGCGGTAACAGTAGCATCAGGTGAAGCCTGCAATAATAACCCGATTGCTATCCGTTTCAGACGCCCCGTTGTGCCGGCCCGATGGCGACGGGGGTGGGTCGTCGTACGGCGCCGCTCCCGGCGACACGGTGCGCGTGCCGTGCCGGGTGGACGCCAACCCAGCGCCCGCTGAGTACCGATGGTCGTTTGCCGGCGGCGGACCAGTAGGAGGAGGAGGATCGGGAGCGGCTGCTTCAGGAGAAGTACACGTTGCAGCAGCACCAGGAGCGGAAGCAGCACCACGAGGAGGACCGGGAGCCCGAGGACCAGCGGATTCCCGGGCGGACCGCCCTGAAGACAGCGGAGCCCGCGAGGCCGCCATGGCGGCCACAGGACCGTGGCTCGAGTACGATGTGCGCCACAGCGCCGGAGCCGCCGACTACGGAATAGCTCGATGCTGGGCCAGAAATGCAGTCGGCTCTAATGAGGCGGCGCCATGCGAGTACCGCGTGCGGCCGGCCGGTGAGTCGGTTGGTTTTTTTTTTTTGTTTTCATGTCTCATTGTGTGTTTTGTTTGTATCTTGTCATTTCCAGGACCACCGGATCGGCCGACCGATTGCTACGTGGTCATCGGCGAAGACGGCGACGTCGGCTATGACGACGGCCACAGCAACGGCGACGGTGACCGGGGCGAGACGGGCGACTGGAGACCACCCGAGCAGGCCGCGGTGTCGTTTCGCGTGCGGTGCACCGCGGGACACGACGGGGGCGCACCGCCGCAGCGGTTCGTTGCCGAGGTGTTGGCACTAGGTGAACGCGCAGGCGGCGGCGACGACGGCTACCTATCGATGGCCAACGTGACCGGCGTTGTGGTATCGTCGCCAAGGTCGGTGGCGGTGGGTCGGGGCGAAGGCGCGGTAGGCGAGAGTGGCAGTCACGGGGGGTCTCGCGCCTCTGACGACTCTGTAGGTGGGTTGCGCGCCGCCGACCACGCCATCGCCCCGAATCGCGTCGTGGTGTTCCGCGTGACCGCGCCCGCCGGCCGACCGCTGCGCGTCGACGTGACGGCCGTCAACGGTCGCGGCCGGTCCGAACCGGCGGCGGTCTTTGTTGGACCTAGTGGGGTGGGTTCCGGGTCGGGGGATCGACGGGGGAGTCCCAGGGACGGGCACGCGTCCACATCGTCGGCGGCGGCGGCCGCCGATGATGAAGGCGACGACGGCCGGCTGCGGCCGGCCGTCGAGCGTCCGGACGCCGGTGCGGTCCCGGGCCCGGGACGGGGCGGTACAGGCGGCAGCGGAGAATTCGGCGGCATCGGCCCGGCGCTGGCGTGCGCCGCCGCAGTCGCCGCCGCAGCGATTTGTTGCGCCTTGGCGGCGGCGGCGTGCACGTCCGTCGCCCGATTCCGGCGCGGTACGACGGCGACGGCCGACAATACCATTGTACCGAGTGCCGTCTGCGTAACAGGCATCGCGAGTACCACCACCGCAGTCCATCCACCATCGCCTTTCGACGTTCGTTTCGTCGAAGCCACCCCGCCCAGACCGGACGTTGCGTTCGCGTCCCCGCGGTCGTCGTCACCGGTGCGGCATCGCCTACACCAGCAGCAGCAGCACCGGTACGTGCAACAGCAGCAACAACAACAGCAGCTGCTGTACCAACAGTACCACCGACGGCCTCATCAGCATCAACAGCTGCAGCAGCAGTTCCACCACCAGCAGCAGCAGCTGCATCACCGGCAGCAACGGTATCGGCCGCCGGCAGCGGCAATGACGCTCGGACGGGGAACTGTATTAGCGCGGCCCGTGTACGCCGCTTGCGGAGGCGGTACGTTGCCGAGGACGGGCTCCATGGCGACGACGGCGACGGTGAGTTTTTTCAATCAATTGTGTGTATTAATTATATTACCCGCAACTATAACGCCGCCCCCTCTTTGTGTTCTAGGTGGACTTGTGGAGGACGCGATCGCGCGGATCAGTACCCGCGGCGGCGGCATCGTCATCGTCATCATCAGTGGCAGTAGCTGCAGTACCGGCGGTGGCGGCATCAGCAGCAATACCGGCGACGGCGCCAAAATCGCTTTTGCCGCCGCCCCCGTGGTCGGACGACGAGCCGGCGACGGGACCCGGTGCCCTCGGCACTTTTGGCACCGGTGACTCCAAAACCGGAGGCTCCAGAACCGGCGCCGCCTCTACCTCCGCCGACAAGAGGGAGAGCGCCGTCTGAAGACGACGACGACTACCAAGCGAAACCTCGTCGTCGTATCGTCGTTATCGTAAACCGTATTGTCATTATCATCATCGTTATTATTATTATTACGATTATCTCTGCATTATCGTTGATGTTTTCATTATTTTTATCATTATTATTGTCTTTGCATTGTCATTATCGTATTGTATATTGTATTGTAAATATCATTATTATTATAATTATTACAATTATTATTATTATTGTCGTTTTTTTTGTAATTTGTAAACCATATCGTCGTCGTCGTCCCGATCGTTATCATCACCACGCCGTAGTCGCCTTAACACCATAATCGCATATTCAAAACGAAACGATAAGAAGGAAAAAAAAATTTTTTCTTATATATATATATAATGTATAACAATAATTTTAACAACCATGATAATCGAGTTCACGAATAGCTTTTATTGGTTCATTTTTCACAGATTTAAAAGCGCGTTCCGAAAAGTCTCTCGAGCAATGTTAGGTGTCAATCGAGCGCGCAGTCAGTCGATTCGCACACGCGCTCGTGCGTAGTAATTTCGACGATAAAGACGACGACAGCAGCAGAAGAAGTACTAGTGTAGTAGTAACAGTAGTGGTGGCAGTGGTGTGCAGAAAACGTTTTAGATTGAAAACTTCTCTTTGTTCGGTCCGCTGTCGACATTTGTAGGGCGACGCGCATAATTTTGCAATCCGTCTGTATATGTGTATATACACTAGTGGCGAAACTACGGGGGTGTCAGGGGATGCTGAAGCACCCCCAAGTTCTACTTCTTTGTAATTTCATATACAGGGTGGCCCACCACTCACTGACAACTTAAATAACTTTTGATCCAGTTAATATTTTTAGTTGATTTTTTTTTTAAATAATATTTATACGTTAGGTCTATAGCTATATCTCAATAATTATTTTTTTTACATTTTATTAAAAATATTAATTATTTTTAAATTTTAAATAAAATGTAAAAAAAAAATCTAAGATAGCTATTTTGTAGAGTAGAATTTAAGAAAAATTTTAGTAAAAAAATATCTTATTAATATTCAGTAGTAAATATTCTGTAGCGTTTTGAAGTTTGTGAAAATTTGAATTTTCATGTACTATTTTACGGTATTAAACATTGAAATACGTATTGAGAAAAGGACAGAAGAAAACGCTATCTTTTCAATATACTTTTGAATGAGAGTGATAAGTAATAATTGCCTTATCTAATTTCTTATCATGGTATTTATGCCAAGTTTGTAATGTATACACACTATCATCATATGTATACACAGTAATCATGAAAAGATAGCGTTTTCTTCTGTCCTTTTCTCAATACGTATTTCAATGTTTAATACCGTAAAATAGTACATGAAAATTCAAATTTTCACAAACTTCAAAACGCTACAGAATATTTACTACTGAATATTAATAAGATATTTTTTTACTAAAATTTTTCTTAAATTCTACTCTACAAAATAGCTATCTTAGATTTTTTTTTTACATTTTATTTAAAATTTTAAAATAATTAATATTTTTAATAAAATGTAAAAAAATTAATTATTGAGATATAGCTATAGACCTAACGTATAAATATTATTTAAAAAAAAAATCAACTAAAAATATTAACTGGATCAAAAGTTATTTAAGTTGTCAGTGAGTGGTGGGCCACCCTGTATGTATAGTTTTAACAATGTATTTTTATTTTTTTTAATTTTATTATCATATATATTATATATTTTTTCTTATCTTGCATACTGATTAATAAAATGTATATCATCAAGGTTGTATAATGGTATATTATATTATATTATCAACATTATAGCGATTTATAAAAAATTTTTAAAGTATCAAAACGAAAATAAAGCAAACCAAAAAATTAAAAAAAATTCCATTTGAAAACGGAGCTAACAAAAAGAATCGGTTGAAGCCTATTGGAGGCAAACAATTTACTTCCTAATTATTGATACTATTATTAAAAATTTAGAGTTCAGGTTTTCAAATGAAAATCTTAAGATGGCTAAAGCCATTGATATTTTATAAATATGGATTATAAAAATAGTCAACATTTTATTCTACATTATAAGGTGCATATTAAATAAGTTATAAAGTACCAAATGTAATAAAATAATTACATTTTATAAAGTTAAAAAATATTCAATGATTTTAGGACATAATAAGTTCAAACACCGAATTCTTAAAATTAAATATGCTGGTAGCAAAGAAACAGTAAAGATGAAATAAAATAAATTCTAGATAAAGAAAAATTTCCAATTGTATACAAGTTAATTCAACCTGCATTAACTATATCGTTTAGTTCTGCGACATGTGAACAAAGTTTTTCCTCCATGAGTAGGTTGGAAAAATGGTTACAAAGCAGCTTGTTGCAGCAACGTTTTACAAATTTAAATTTTGAATATTGAAAGGAATCTTGCTAATGCATTGCTGCAATTTTTATATTCGGTCAAATTGACCGAAAATTATTTTTAACACTTTAAAATTACTCTCTTTGTATAAAAAAAAAAAAAACGGTAGCACAGTGTGAACGAGGCATAGATGGGACAAGTATCGATCATATCTGACAGTGATTAAAATCACTATCATAAGAAACGCTTCGATGCAAATCTGTAGATAGTGTTTCATTTAGAGAAATTGGTGGATTATTCCAAAAGCAACATCAACTCTTATTTCTTTAATTATATCCAGATGAGTAGTTCTTTGATTTTAAAATATGATATATGAATAAATACTAATTATAGTTATTAAATTTAGTATGAAATTGATATTCAATAATTTAATATTGTAATTTATACGGAGAAATTATAAAAATAATAAAAAAGTTATATTTTGCTTTACTTTTACTTTTATTTTTAAATTTAAAGGGCTTGGTACAATATTTATCAATAAAAACTGTTTGTTACTATAAATAAATGCACTGGACAACTTTCATCAGAGGCAAAAATATACTTTTCTAAATCAACTTTTCGCGATGTTTTAATGTGCAATTAGAAATTGTTAAGATTAATATGCAATCAGGAAATTTTATAATTACTATTTACAGTAAATATATCAGAAATTATTTTTTTTTATTGTAATAGATAACTTAAATAGAAGTAATAGTAATAATTTCCTAGTAACTTTTGTTGTTTGAAAAGATTCTATAATTGAAATACAATTGAGAACTTAATTAATTTTAATGATTTACTTTAACTAAATGAACCAATCAAAACAAAGTTGTTAAAAAGATTTACTCAATTGAGCGTATTATAAAATTTGATTATATTTGTAAAAATCAATTGTTAATTCAGGAGAAAAAACAATCATTTTTTTTAGAAATGATTTATATAGCAACACGTTAGAAAAAAATTTGAATATTATAGTCTAATAGTAGCACACACAAACAGAGTAATAAAATTATTAAATTANGTAATATTATAGTCTAGTAGTAGCACACACAAATGGAGTAAAAAAATTATTAAATTACAAAGTAAAATGATTTAATTTTGTAGTTAAAACCTATCATATCAAACTTAATTCGTCAATAAGTATTTTGTAAACATTAGAAATGAATGATTTTAATTGTCTGTATGGAGAACACGGGATAAGTAACTGTTTAATTGATAAATTAGAATTTTTTTTCAATTTTTGAGGGTAATGTCTTCGACTAGATACGATTTGGGATCTTTTGACATATTCTTCATCAAAATCGATCCAGCGAGAGCTGACATTGAGCGTTCACGGACACAAAAAAAAAATATCAGAAAGTGATTAAAATCACTATAAAAAAAAAAACACTTTGATGCAAATCTTTAGATAGTGTTTAATTTTAAAAAATTGGTGGATTATTCCAAAAGCTACATGATCTACTAGTTTTTTATTAATATCCTGATTACGATAAAGTATGTCAAATAAAAAAGGGATTATTAAAAAATATTATTTCTCATAAAAAAATTGTGTTGATCCAGAAACTTTTCAATAAGTCATTTCAGGAATACTTTCAAAAGTCAAGTTGAAAAAGTAAAGTTTTTGTGAAAAAGTTGTCATTTTAAATCCCCCCCGTAGGCAAGTAAAGAGTCTAATTTATAAAAAAAATATACCAAATGATATTCAAAGACAACATGCATCCATAAAGAAAATAATTGTATTGATCCATACTATTTTCATAATGAAGTTAAAAATGTAAAAAATAAAAGCAAGAATTTTCACACAAAATAGCATTCAGTAGTCATTTTCACCGTGAAGACCAAATAAAGTCCGAAATTTTTTTTTTTCCATGATGAAGTATATTATATTAGCTTTAATTTAAGATATATATAAAAGTGTCAGTCCTTCCTGAACACTTTCAAAAGTTAAGTTAAAAAAGTTAATTGTTTGTGAAAAAGCTGTAATTTTAAATACCTCCCTGTGGGCAGGTAAAGAGACATATTTGTAAAAACAATACACTACTTGAAAAGTAATGCTATCATGCATCTATATAAAAAAAAAATTATATAGTTATGTTCATTTTTGAAAAAGTTATGGCAGTTTTTAGTAACAAAAATTGAAAAAATTTCGAAAATTAGCGATTTTTAAATTTGTAATTTTTTTGGAGATTTCCTCCATTTACGGGGAACGAGGGAATTTTTTTCAATTTTTGAGGGTAATGTCTTTGACTACATACGATTTGTGAATTTTTGACGTATCGTTGAAAGAAATCCGTTCGATGAGAGCTGAGAAAAAGTGGTAACAGACACAAAAAAAAACACATCATAGTAAAACCAATACCTTCTCAGCTTCACATCGAAGCGAAAAATGTAATATAATCAAAAACTATAGTAAATAAATGTAATGTGTAATATTAGTTTTTCCAAATATGATATTGCGAATATAATAATAGTATTATAATTTAAATATTGAGATTATGTTAAGTTGAATGTGTGGTGGGTGTTAGGGGTGGGTTTGCCCCCACGATTTTGAAAAGCGATTCATAATTGTACACCTCCAAGATTTGAACTCTAGTTGCGCCACTGATATACACACACACATATATAATTCGTGTCTATCGTACATAAATATATCGCCAGAACCTTCCGCCGCGTAAGTTATTGTTGCGCGCCGTGAGTTATTTTTTTTCGTCCGCCGTCGTCCGGATTCGGGTGTCGTCGTCGCCGCGATGACGCCGGCGTCCCGGTGACCGCCGATAGCCGATAGACCTACAGAACCGCGCGCGACCGCGACATAATGACGCGGCGATCGCGCTGCTGATGGCCACGGTCATTACGTCGTTCGCCGCCGCCGCAGCCGTGCCGTACGTTTGGCATCAGAGCGGCGGCGGAGACGAAGGCGCCGACGNGTACGTTTGGCATCAGAGCGGCGGCGGAGACGAAGGCGCCGACGCCGCCACCTTGACCGAATGGATCATAGTCGGCCGCCGCCGCCGGCCTGCAGCAGAGATGCAGGCCGAGTCGGTCCGAAAATTTTTTGCAGACCAATTATTCATAATTAACAACAAATTATTTTCAGAAATGCTTTGTATCAAGCCTTTCAATTTTTATACACGTTTGCCATAAATGTAATAACTACTTTATAATTTTTTATAAATTCTCTGAAAAAATACTAAATGATTTGATCATTTATCATTAATCTCATACTATATTAAATTGCTATAATAAATATTAATCATATATTGTACTTCCAAATCAAAGAATTACTAATCAAGATATAAATGAGGAAATAAGATATCCTTTTACTTTTTGAGTATTTCATCATTTTTTTTTAAATTAAACACTATCTATAGATTTGATGCATTTCTTTTGATAGTGATTATAATTACTGTCACATATCACCTATACTAGTCCCATCTATGCCACTTCCGAACTGTGCCGCGACTCCATTGTGTTGAGATTTTTTACTTAAACTGCCATAACTTTTTGAAAAATAAATGAATTGAAACAATTTTCTTTAATATATACATTAGGTAGTTACCCATCATTTGTTTTTTTTTTTCAAAATTGTTGTTCAAAATGATATCTGTTCAAAAAAAAGGTAACTTTTTTAACTTATCTTTTAAAAGTGTTCCGGAAATACTTACACTTTCTATATATCTTAAATTATGATAATAATTAATTATTAGTTGCGTAGGAGCTTTACCTCCCCTTAGAAACAGTCGTAGTCAACGCAATTAAACAAAATTTCTATTTTGGTGGTGGAGAAGGATAAATAAAGCATGTAGAGTTTTTCGTAGCTTTTTTATCCAAAACAGAATATGAGTACATAGCTCTCTCAGAAGAATTTTTCTTGCTACTTCCATGGTATGATTTAAGTAACAAGAGTGTCATTTTCTTTTTCTTTTTGTTGGTGTTAAAATTTTAGCTAGCTATTTAACATCACAAAACATTTCTACTTAATGAAGAGAGGGTTCATAGGCAAGGGAGGGCTAAGCTCTCTCAAAAATATTGAAAATTCGTATTTAAAAAAATCAATATAAATTTAATTAAAAATTATATATAAAGTGAGATCAATTAAACCCATTTTCTAACTTTCTGAATACTATATATCACTGCATAAATTAACAATAGTTCGTATTTAATTGCATATACAAACTTTTTAAAATACATAATCTTAGGGTTTTTAGTGCATTAGTCCCAAGTAGGGTTTGGGACTAATAAATGTTAGCTTTTATAATTTTTCATACGTACATAATTAATTAACTTATTTATTAGATAGTGTTATAATTAAGAAAATGATGGGTCAATAACTACTTTGGACCAGTATTTCAGAAGTTATTAACATTTTTATATTTAGGCGGCAGGGTGAATACGGAAGGAGCAGAGAAATGTATTAAAAAATAGCAGCACTCACGTCTCACCACCATCAGTTATTACTTTTAATTATTAGTAACTTTTGAAATATTGGTCAGAGTATTTTTTGGGAGGAATCTAGGAAGTTTATCAGGTTTCCCAATGTCCTGATTGTCTTAGTTGATAAATACTTGCCTAGCTATAATTATCCTCACAACTAACTATAGAACAAATAATGATAATTAATAAATTTTCATTAATTTGAAATGATTATTTATTTTGTATAACAAAGTTTTAAACTTTTTATTTTTAAACTATTGTATTAATCTTTTTTAAAAAAGCTCTTGCAATGACTTATAGTTTAAAATATATTTTTGAGTTTTCAAAGGGTTTTTGATGAAACATAATTTTTAAAAAAAATATATTAAAATTTTTTAATTACCCATTGAAAAATTGAATATAATTAAATTAAATGAAAACATAACACGAAAGAAAAATGGGCAGAATATGTCAAAAATAAAAAAACAAAATACAAATTTTGTATTTTACTTGATAACCTCATAAAATAAATATATTTATTATTTAGTATTACCATTTATTGTTAAAAAAAAATTCATTAATTATAATAACGGTTAATTTGTTATCTTAAACAAATTGACTAATTCTTATAAAGTTTATATATAAAAGCAATGTATCAATAGTATATAAGTTCTTTATTATATATTTCCAATCAACATAAATTAAATTAATTAAACATTTCAAAAATAGACAATTTTTTTTATAGAAACAAAATAAACATAAAAATCAATTAAAAACTGTTTGTAACTAAAAAAATTGCTTTTTCAAATCCTGTCATAAACATTATTTGGAGTTTCATCAATAAAAATTAATTTTTTTGTTTATTAAGCATTTATCAATTAAAAGCTACATAGAATAAAATAATAACTAACTTAATTAAAACAATTTTTCTTTTTTGTAATATAAAAAAAGTAACGTTTATTATTCAAATCAATCGTCGTATCTAAATTTAAATGGTATTATTGACCATCATTAGAATCTGGTAGTTATTAAATTAAAATAAATCTATCATCTTCTTGTTCTACATCATAATCTTCATGGCGCCCCATAATTTCTGACTGTATACACCTATGTTGAAAAATATTTATTAATGAACATGTGTTAAAATGCGTGAATGGACTGTAATCATAAAATGTCATAAACAGAGTATGATGCTCTACCTTGTGAAAATATATCAAATGTCGTTATAACCTAACTGAATGATTAGCCTACCTTGGTTAAACAAGTAATACTATATGCGTTACGTCGTGTACTTTATTCTGTGAATATTGTGCAAATACCTCCCAACACTCATGACGTTCACAAAAGTTTTCTTCAGAGATACCTTTATCTAGTCATATGACTCAAATACTATATAGTGCTAGGAATATTCACAAAGTAGCCGTGTTCGGTAAGTGAGGCAATTGTTGGCGTTATCAACCGAATCAAACGTGATTTTAACACGCATAGAACCGATAACATTGATACTAAGAATACCAGAAAATATTTTGGACAAAGTTTTCCCGAGTTGACTGGGTGAAAATCGCCTAAGTTATTATCGCCAGAAGCAAAAACAAGTACAATACGGAGACCAGTGTAGTGTAGTGGAAAATATTCAGGAATATTGAGTTGCCTGACTGCTGACGTATAAGGAGAATCGACATTGAGCGAGTTTATGTTTGAAGTTGGCGGACTGAGTGACGTCACAACGATGACTTCGGGTGAGTTGCAATCCTTACTGTTAGTTTAAGATTAGGATCATTATAAATTGATTTACCGTCGCATTTAGTGAATGTAGGATTTTTTGTGAAAAGGGCTCGTTGGAGATGGAAGTTTTCAAAAAGCTTCAATGGCGCAGTAGTGCTGATTACCTCCTTCCGGATGAAGTCTAGATCGCATCCAGAGTCCCAGTGGGCACCGTAAATGTACCGAAAAGGCTAAACTTTTGTTTCAAAACGGGTAAAAACACCGAATAAACACTGAAACAGAATAGTACTCTAAAAATAGGCCGGTGATTTCTAATGTACACGACATAAACACCGATAAATCGTAGCTGTAATATTTAATATTCTTGTAACTTTTTGAGTTAAATATTTATAAGGTTTAAATTCATGTTTTAAAAGTATTATTAGTTTTAAATTATATTAATGATCAGTACATATTATATGTATAGAAACATTTAAGAAATAAAATATAATTTTCCTTTACCACTAATTGATCGAGTTATGAAAACAATCTGTTAATATTGGGTACTAGGTTAATAACTTTTTTTTAGAAAATATCGTATTTATAATAAAAGAACTTTACATTTTTTTTATTGTAAATAGGATACTTCATGTGATAAATAAAAGAAAGCTTTTTTCAAATTTAAATATTCAACTATCTTGAAGCACGTGTTAGGTTTGACCAATCGTAAAATAATTTTACATACTTTATTTTTATATAAATTAGAATAAATGTAACCTAAAAAATGTTAAAAAAAATATGTTACCTACACTACTAATAACCACTGNAAAAAAAATATGTTACCTACACTACTAATAACCACTGTAGCGGACTTAAAAAATTATGATTTTGGGGTTATTAAATATTTGTTTATGAAATTGAATATTATTTATATCAGTAAGTAACATTTTGTTACAATGAATCTTTCCATATTTTATCATAGTTTGAAAAGTTTATTTCCAAACTTAAATTTGCATCATATGACGTAATGCAATATAATATACAGAAAAAAATTAAGGCATTATAAACTACCCGTATTTTAATTTAAACCTTTGTAACGATTTAAAAATGTTAAATTTTTCTATTTTTATGTTTTCTCTAAAAATTGACATAATTAACTTATGTTAGTTTTCAGATTGATTTAATTGGTCAAGTTTGTCTGTTCTATTATCTATTGTAGTAATTAAACGTTTAATATTATCTATTAGAGTATTAGCAGAATTAACAGGATTAGGATCTTTTATTGTCAGACCATAAAATAGCTCTATATGTGTAAGATAACTTTTCTGATTTAATCCATATTGCTCTTGAAGATATTTATTCATATGATGTATAAAAATAGCGGGATATAAAAATTTTAGAAACATATTATTTGATGCGCTTATTGTTTCCCGCAACTTCCTAGTGCACATAATATATTTTGTTGTTTCAGATTCTCTATATCTGGAACATAACACAACAAAACTATTCAATAAATATCTAAAGACTTTCAAATTTTCAGTGTATCTAAGAATTATTAAATTGTTTATAATTGGTATTTTTATTTTTTACATTTTTAACTTCATTATGAAAATAGTATGGATCAATACAATTATTNTGGCGAAAATTATCATCATTAATTTCCGACTTAATTACGTCCGTATTACAATAACGAAGGGTGTTTTCATCGACTCTGTAACTATATGTCGTATCTTCCCATGCCTCCTGTTGACAAATAAAATTGAATACACCGATAACATATGTTATATCTATGTATTATTGTAAATTTNAATACACCGATAACATATGTTATATCTATGTATTGTTGTAAATTTGAACTTGAACATTAACTACAGAAAACCATCAAACTTTGATTTAAAATCCAAAAATTATAAAAATTTAAAATAAAGAATCGAAATAACATCTTTTTGAAATAAATAAGTAAAAATTTGAAATCTAATAAATCTGTAAAATAAATTTATTATTAATAGTATAACGATACTAAAGTAATAATAATCGATATTGTTAATCTTCCATTTTATACAATTTTAATACATACAAATGAGTTTTGAGAGAAACACTTGATTTTTATTTTAGTATTGCAATAATTATTTATGTACGTAAATTTACACAATTTCGTCATTCTAGAAATTTCAAGGACAAAATTTTAGATTTTAAAATACGACTCAACTATTAAGACTGATTAAAAATATAAAATATAAGTAAAAATTATAACTTAAATAATTCGATTCTGCATAAAGTACTTTTTACATATTGTATGGTCTGACATTAAAAAATCCTCTTGATATTAATGATAAAACTATTGCTACTAAAGTAGTAACAAGTGTTAGAAACTTTATTTCTTATACAATAGAAAAAAGACATTAGTCAAACTTGACAAAATAAATCATTCCGCGATATATCATTATTTAAATTCAATTAAATCAGCTTTAGTGGTCCAGCATAGTATAGACCTGACACAAGAAATGATAACTGACACTGTTAAAGAACATATAAGTTCCATGTATAGGACACCCTATATATAACATCAATGGGTCGTTGTTACTGGTTGATTTCTTAATATGACAAACACATTAGATAGTAAAGTAAAGGAAACTAGGATAAAAATGAATAAAATTGAAGGTGAAGTAAAATAAAAAACTTATAATGGTAANTGAATAAAATTGAAGGTGAAGTAAAATAAAAAAACTATAATGGTAACATTAATTAGCCAATATGAGGCGGAGCTTCCAAAAATGTTTGACATATTAAAATTATTTCCAGAAGAAAGAAAAAAATGTGGTTTCCAAAGTATTCATCTAGTCCGATGAATTTACTATTTATAGGAAAATAATGCTTTTAATTTTAGCTTTATTATATTTGCCTAAACTTTTTTTTGGTTATTAATTTATATTTTTTAACGATCATTAGGTCCACCATACGAGTATCAATAATAGAATATATTTACAATGTTTATGTTAAAAAAAATATTTTTTATAATATAAGCTTTTATTTTTATATTGTATTGCAAATTCTTTTTTCATTCAAAGAATATGAGTATTAATCAGTTGTCGAATGAAATACTTATGTTTATTAGTTATAATCAATTACAATGAAATACATGTATTTTGTAAATTGTAAAAGAACTAAAATGCATAAAATTATACGAGAAGTTAAAATTTGTCAAACTAAATTACATCCGCATAGAGCAGAATTTGAAATATATTTTTTATAATTGGTATAAATATAGTAATAATTTGATTAAATGCTAATCCAATATTACTCTGTTTATGCCGTTTTATTATATTGAAACGTGTATCGTTAATTTCAACTATTATGAATCATTGATAAAATAACATCAGTGATGAAATAATAATTATTTATATTGCTTATTGGTTTAGAGTTCAATCAAGTATTTTTTTATATGTCTGAAGAACAATACTATAAATTTTATTTCTAAAATCTGTAAATCATTTATAATTTACCAATGTTGAACTTTCAACCTTTTAGCTTCGATGCGAACCTGAGATAGTATTGATTTACTATGATGTTTATTTATTTATTTTTTTTTGTGTCTGTTACCACTTTTTCTCAGCTCTCACCGAACCGATTTTTTTCAATGATACGTCAAAAGATCACAAATCGTATTTAGTCGAAGACATTACCCTCAAAAATTGAAAAAAATTCCCTGGTTCTCCGTAAATGGGGAAACCTCCAAAAAAATTACAAATTTTAAAATCGCTGATTTTCGAAATTTTTTCAATTTTTTTTACTTAAAATTGCCATAACTTTTTTAAAAATAACCAAATCAATATTATTATTTTTTATATAGGTGCATTATATCATTACCGTTCATTTTTTTATTTTTTATATCTGACCCTTTACCTGCCCACAGGGAGGTATTTAAAATTACAGCTTTTTCACAAACAATTAACTTTTTTAACTTAACTTTTGAAAGTGTTCAGGAAGGTCTAACACTTTTATATATATCTTAAATTAAAGCTAATATAATATACTTCATCATGGAAAAAAAAAAATTTCGGACTTTATTTGGTCTTCACGGTGAAAATGACTACTGAATGCTATTTTGTGTGAAAATTCTTGCTTTTATTTTTTACATTTTTAACTTCATTATGAAAATAGTATGGATCAATACAATTATTTTCTTTATGGATGCATGTTGTCTTTGAATATCATTTGGTATATTTTTTTTATAAATTAGACTCTTTACTTGCCTACGGGGGGGATTTAAAATGACAACTTTTTCACAAAAACTTTACTTTTTCAACTTGACTTTTGAAAGTATTCCTGAAATGACTTATTGAAAAGTTTCTGGATCAACACAATTTTTTTATGAGAAATAATATTTTTTAATAATCCCTTTTTTATTTGACATACTTTATCATAATCAGGATATTAATAAGGAACTAGTAAATCATGTAGCTTTTGGAATAATCCACCAATTTTTTAAAATTAAACACTATCTAAAGATTTGCATCGAAGCGTTTTTTTTTTATAGTGATTTTAATACTGTCAGATATTATTATACTTGATCCAACTAACAGTAAATTTATGAAAAAAACCCGAAATTTCGTTAAAATCACTTGTTATATTTTTTGTATTTATATCGTAATAAATCGTTTCAGTAGAAAAATTAATCATCTAACTTTTGGTGTTTAAACAGATGATACAATTGAAATATTCAGAACTGTTTTTCTTATATTAATATCCTATAGTTTTTTAATGATTAGTAATAATATCAAATATTAGTGGCGATAGAAAAGATATAATTGCAGATTTAAAATTAGCACAAAAAATTGAATAATAAAAGTATATGTTTGATCTAAAGAAAATTTTTTGTAGAACCTTTAATTAATAATTAACTACAAATTATTTTCTGAAATGCTTTGTATCAAGCCCTTCAATTTTTATACACGTTTACAATAAAAGTAATAACTACTTTTTAATTTTTTATAAATCCTGTAAATATATACTAAATGATCAAATATTAATCTCATACTATATTTATTTCATTATTTTTTTAAAATTAAACACTATTTACAGATTTGTATCAATGCGTTTCTTATGATAGTGATTTGAATTACTGTCATATATCACCTATTTCCCATCTATGCCACTTCGGAACTGTTCTACCTTTTTTTATCATTTTAATATGCTAACACTCTCACTTCTATTAAACCGATATTGCTCAATATATTACATTAAAAGATCAGAAAATTTATCCAGTTGAGCTATCAGCATGGTAATTAATTAAATATTTTATTTATGAATTTCATTACTTTGTATAATAAACAAAATTCATAACTTATAGCACTAAAACGACTTATTATGAGCACAATAATAAGTACTTAATTTATTATTTTAGTGCTTTAAAAACACTAAAAAGATAAAATATGCAAAAAAAAAAAATTAATGTGAAAATAACTAATCTAATTTAAAATATTTTTTAAAATTTTAGTTTAGTAGTAAAAACTTAGCTTTATTCATTAAAATATAATATATAATTTACTAAAAAGATCTAAAAGTTGTTAAAATGTTCCTATGTAAAGACACATATTTTATCTATATTTAATTTGACCATTTTATTTGAATTATGTGTATTTTTAAGGCTTTATTAAATTTAAGCATTTTAGTGGCTTCTTAAATTTTTTATTAAGTCTTAAATTTAAAGACTTCATTAAATTATGCAATTAAATAAATTGTATCTGTTTTGACTTTTTTGTCTAATACGGTATTTAAAATTAGCATAGATTGTTAAATATTTTCTAGATATGGAAGAATATTTATATATTCTTTATCATATGAGCGAAATATTCAAGTATTCATTGTAAATAGAATAAAAACATTTTTAATCTTAATTTAGAAATATCTCTCAAAATCTCTTCGAGATAAAATGTTTAACAAGTGAGTGTTATATTTTTAGTGATAATGTTATAATCATATAATAACATGATAAGTATGGAAAAATGTTTTAAGAAGAATGCTATGAACATAAAACAATTTTTTGTGTTAAATTTAGTTTATTATTTAGTCAATTTCTCTGCAATTGACTGTTTAATTTTTTCATTATTCATGATCACAACGCGTATATTTTGCAGAATATTAACAAATATACAAAAAATAAAAATATAGGTTATCATGTACGAGATACAGACCACGTAATGATCGCTTTACTAAACGAAATAGATGAATAGTAGAGTTTTATAATACTATATCCAAGTTTTCTAGTTGGTAAAGTAATGTCTATGTAATATCATAAAAATTGGTCAATTGTGTTCAATATTTTTTAATTTAATGCTGGTAACAATTATATACTTTATATTCGCATTAATTTATAATTTGAAATATCAAAAAAATACTTATTATAGTAATTGAATTTAGTATAAAATTACATCGAATAATTAAGTGTTGTATTTTTTAGAGAAAAGTCATAAATTTAAAATGTTGTTATGGGCTAATTAGTTTCAATGTCTAAATTAAAAATCTGCATTAAAAAACCTAACAGAAATATTGAAAAAGATATTTATATTTAAAAA